GTCTGAAATATGATAAGGTTAAAATATACTGTCACTAAAATAATAAGAAAAATATTATACGAGGGACATTCTAAGTCCAAATAGAATAGTATTTTTAGTCCAGGATATTTTCCACCATTGGGTATATAGCAACTGACACAACATAGATACACAAAAATGCTTATAGAAATACAATTAAGTATATGAATGTTAATTTACTAAATTAAATGAAGATGATGTTTTAGATAACAACAATAATACTGAAGCACTGGGTAATTTTTTATAATGTACAAAGCACTGTACTACAAAAAACAGTATTATTTTGTTTAATCTTCACAACAATATTTGAAGAAGGTACTGTTTTCCCTTCAAATCTGAAGTTTTAGAAAGCAACTTCACAAAACAACACAATTACCAAGTGGCAGAGGTAACATTCACACCTAGATATAAATGACTGTTATACCATTTCCATCTATGAATGATAGTTTAGCACCACCTTTAGTGTCAGATCAGTGTCACCTCTTGTTTATAAATGTTGTTATGTGTCTTTGAATTGCTTGTGACTCCTAGAGACCCTATATTCAATGACCCAACTTCATTGTCTCTGACACATCTACTCCCATTACCCCAGTCACTAAGTCAATCCATCTCATCCAGGGTCTTCCTCACCTATGCTGTCCCTCCACCCTCCCAAGCATGATGTCCGTCTCCAAGGGCTGGTACCTCTTGGCAGTATGCCTAAAGTATGTGAGAAGATGTTTCAAAATCTTTGCCTCCAAGGAACAGCCTGGTTACACCTTCTTCAGGATGTACCTGTTCGTTCTCTTGGAATTTGAGTTTACAGCAATAAAGTGTTTGCCATTGCAATTAAAATTTGAACTAAGTAATTTTAGGTCTTGCAGTATGTGAAAATGATACACAAAATTTTAGTCTTTATGCAATTTATTCATAGTCACCACCACTTTTACCACTACATAGTGGTAAGGAGCTGTCCTGCCATCCCAGAGGCACATAGTTCAAATTGCCAGTTAGTTGTTCTGCAGGAGAAAAATAGACAATCTATTCCTGTGCAATTTACTGCTGCTGAAGACCCACTGGAAGGTCACCTATGGGTCAGTTCTGACTCAATGGTATACAACTACACTCTATGGAACTTGCATGTCTCTAATATCATTTTACTCATTGATTAGTAACCACCAGATATTGATTTTTTTTTGTTGTTCATTATATGCCAGAGATGATTTGTTCAATATTTTAAAAACATTCCAGTCCATATATTTTTGTCTAGAAGGTATTTTATTGATTTGTACATGATATGTTTTCCAAGAAAACAACATAGTCTGTTTTCACCTTAGCAGTTTCCTATGAGCATCCTAAAAGGAAGCAGTTCATTTGTCTTAAATTCTATTAGTGGATATAGAGCAGACAGCATAGAAACTCATACAGAATCTTGAATTTTCTGAAAGCCTCTCTTCACAAATCCATTTTAAAGTCAGCATTCAAGTTTTGGTCTATAAAACCTATCTTAAATGAATAATGTATCCTAAATATCACTCATATATAATATTTGTAAATGAAAAGAAAGAATTGCCTTTTCTTTTTTTCAGAATGAATAACTTGTAATATTTGCACACCAAGGCTTAAAATAAAATGCAATCAGGGTGCTCCTGAGAAGCAAGGATGGTAGTGAAACTTCACCTCACATACTCTGGGCATGTTGTCAGAAAGGGTCAATTCTTGGAAAAAGACACCATAATAGAAAATGTGGAGGCTCAGAGAAAGAGAAAAATACCACCAAAAAGATGGATGGACGCAGTGATCGCGACAATGGGCTTGAGCACATCTGAGATGGTGAGGGCAGGGCAAAGGTCAGTTCTGTTGTTCGAGGCTCAGTATGAGGTGTATGCAACTTGATGTCACCTGACAACAACAGGCCGAGGCTCACAGAGTTCTCAGAATATGTACAATAAGTTAGTTTGAAAAAAAAACAAACATTTATATGTGTGTCAGGTGTTGCGGTTTATGGTTGGTTATTTTCTGTACATCCTGCTATTGTTTCTCTTCATGAATAAATTTCATGTTTTCATCAAGAAATAGATGCAGTTTTATCCAGGACTCCTGGAGCTTCGACACTTGCTTCACACAGCTCCTTCTTAAGATGAAGCTACTAACAGGCCCTGAAATGTTGTTGAGATTTTACGGAGTCCCTTTCTCTTAAAAATCTTTTTGTCTTGTACCATGGATAATGTGAAAACTCAAATCAGTAGAAATTGATCTTCAGACTAGAAGATAAGAGTTTCATCTTTTACTTTTTGTGTATTATGGGTTTTGTGCATGTGTGTGAGTTTGTTACTGCTCTCTCTTTGAAATTAATGCCTATATAGTTTTATAGTCCATGTATTTCATTGCACTGAAGTTGATTTAAAGTTTATATCCTCCTAGACATAGTCAATTAATTTAAAAACCCAAACAAAACCACCACATTATTATAAATTTGCTTTTGACTTTCTGCCATGGAGTCATTACTGAATCCGAACCTCTACTTTTTGATTAGCAGCTCAGAATTTTAAGGGGTAGCCCTTAAAGGCTCCCTAACTCAAATAATAGTACTTTTAAAATTGGAAGGAAAAAATGAGTCATTTTAGTTAGAGTAATTTAAGTATTATCTGTTAAAGTTTTGTGAAAATTCACTGAAGACCCACTGAACCTAAAATTTCTATTCCTGAGAATGGAAATATTCTCTCATTTGTATTTTCCAATATAGTCTATTCTAATTGGAAAGAGGAGTGGTATCCACTTCCTAAATAACATGCCTCCGGAAACTCTATGAACTTTGATAAATGTCGAAAGTTGTAGAAGGGCTTCAGGACTTTTGTTCAAAAGGTTGCTATGAGTCGTGCTCGACTTGAAGGCAATCAACAACACAACATCAATGAGAATTGCAGATGTAAGTAGAATTTCAATTTAAAGCTTTAAAAACAGCATTTTAAAAGCATTTACTAGTAGTGTTTTATCTGTTTTAATCAAATAAAGTGATATGCTTTTTATTTTTCAAGTGAAATTATTCTGTTTACACTCTACTTTTCCAGAATTTTATTGTGGTATCATGGTTAAATATTGAGATCACCACAATCTGTAGAGAGAAGAAATCTAATATTTAAATTAAAATACTAACATAGTGTTAGAAAATGGAATCATTATCAATGTTATATTGAAGAACTATAGCATTATAGTAATTATTTCTTCAATTTACCAATAAGCTAGTATCTTCATTTATTGTTGTTGTTGTTGTATACTGTAAAGTCAGAACCGATCCATAGTGGGTTAATATTGTATCTTTATTAATTTGAATATTAACATTGTACTAACTTAAATAATATTTCCCAAAATTTGTGTCATTAGTATTTTTAAAATTTCACTAATATTAAAAAAAAAACACCTTAAAAGAACTGAAAAAAATTCGCTATTTTACTTAAGGGAACTCTAGTGACCTCATGTAAGAATCTGCACTGCAATATTGAAGGAACATGGTCCAAATCAACCAGCTGCTCCACAGAGAAGGTTGGACAATCTCCTCCCATGTGATTAACTGCCTCTCAAAACCTGCTGGAGGGTTAACTATGGGTCAGTTCTGATTCAACAGAACACAAAAACAACAATCCTGCTTAAGAAAGAGAATGTTTGAAGCATCCTATTTTCCTCTGATAAATTTAACAAATACAAGTAGAATTTATCAACATAATTAATTTGGTTAAAGTTAAAAGTAGAACATTTATTAAATTATATGATTATATGATTGTTGTTGTTCTGTGTCATCAAGTTAACTATGACTCAAAGTGACCCTATGAACAATAGCTCTGAAACCTGCTCTAGCCTGAGTCCATCTCACCATTTCTGACAAACTTCTCCCCACTGCCACAGTCTCTGTGTTAATCCATCTCCTCCAAATACTGACCCTCTGTTTCTGAGTATGATGTCCTTCTCCATGACTGATTGCTCCTGGTAGTACACCTAAGATATGTGAGAAAGAGCTTCAAAATTCTTATCTCCTAGGAACAAAATGGTTTCACTTTCTCCAGGGCAGACTTGTTATCTTGGAAGTCTGTAATATGTTCAATACTCTTCTGTAGCACTGTAACTCAAAGGCATCAATTCTTCCTCTTCTTCTGTCATTCTTAGTCATCCATTGATCAGCTCTTACATGTATAGCAAGCAGCTGAAAAGATTAGAGGCTATTTCAAGTGCACCTTTGTGTCTATACGGACATTGTTGGTCTTCAGTGCTCTGAAGAAGTCTCTGACTACTGCCAGTAGAATTTGCTGGGCTCTGCCTTATTGAACTTCCTATCAAAATAGAAAACTTTTCTATCAAACTATTTCTTTTAAAATAGAAAGTTCAATAAAGCATAGCCCAGCAAATCTTACTGGCAGTAAATTGGTACATATTGACCACTTAATATAAGGGGATTTTTTTTTCTCTCTAAATTATCAGATTTGATTAGGAGAGAAAATAAAATTTGTGTATCATTTGATATTCATTATTATTTAGAGAATATGGAATAATAATTTTCCTTATTATTACTGCTAAAATTATTGATTGAAGTAGAACCAAGACTTTTAAAAACTAGTCCCTTTTCCCCCTGTGAGTCCTGTGTATGTGTATTTTTAAGCATGTCAAGTCTACCTCATAATTACAGCTACATGTATTTCCAAAATTGACTTGAGATAATTAATTAATTGAAGAACATCTTTTCAGGCTGAGATGTTCAGAGACTAATAGCTGAGGTGTTCATAGACTAATAGCTTCTGGGAAAAGTTAGGCAAAGGTGCTTGAAGACTTTAGTAGCGCTAAGTACACTGTTGGTATAGTATGGTTTCTGTGAATGTCAAAATGGAAAAGTGTGTAGACTGGTCCATGTGCTGTGAGCATGAGGAATGCGAATCATCTGCAAGCCTGTTCACTGTTGAGATGCACTGGAGTCTTTCCTATTGTAAAAGTGCCTCCTCTGTCTTGTCTTTCAGTCCTCCACAAGCAGCCCAGAGAAGTGTGTCTCTGTTTGTTAGAGCTTGGCCGGATTGCAGCCAGGTAGGTCACACTACTGAAACTATAGAGGAACCTAGATCATCTCAGCATCCAAGCAATGGCTTTGTGTTGTTGATACTTAATGTCATTGGCTCTTTATTGTTGAAACTTAACCTTAGTGGACAGAAGCTTGCTCATCCAAATATGATGAGGATAAGAATTTAAAGAACAATTGTTTAGACAAAGGTATGCTGCCAATATTCTCGACACTAAGATCTTATTGTTCTAGTCACTTGATGCACTTAGTTTTGTTTGTCTAGATTTGTCAAATACCTTTCCCCTGAAGTCTTTTTTGTTGTTAATGTGTACTGTTAAGTCAGAACTGACTCAAAGCTGACCCTCCTGTGGGTTTTCAGAGACAGTACATTGCAAGAGAGGAGATTGTCTATCTTTGTCCTAAGGAATAACTGGTAGATTTGAACCATGTGCCTTTGGGTTGGTAGTGCTACTGTTTACCACTAAGACACCAGAGCTCCTTCCAGTCCTCTCTAGAAGAAATAAGATCTTGTAAATGATGTTATATGTAGAAAATACTTTTTCTTAGTAGAAATTTCAGGTATACCTATTCTTTGTCTCTTCTCTCCCTTCTTTCTTTCCTTCCTTCCTTCCTTCCTTCCCTCCCTCTGTCCCTCCCCTTTCTCTCTCTCTCTCTCTCTTCCTCTCTCCCCTTATTTTAAAAGTTCTCCCATTTTAACACCATTCAATATCTTAACTTTGACATATTTTCATTTCCATCTTTAAATGGAATTGGGGAAGGTGTTTTCAAAACTATTTTTTGTATTTTATGATTAAAGGAAGACAAAAGATTATATCTCTGTGTAATTCCATATTTAAAATATTTTTCTTTTGAAAACAAATGCTTAAAAATAAATTAGTGAAACTATGATCCAAAAAAAGCAGAGATAGAGGGTTTATTAGCTAAGCAGACTTTATTTTTAAGTTTTAAATGTATTATTTTGTTGATAATAAAACTGTCCTCTGACATATGCAGCTCAAGAACTAGAAATGAAAAAATAAAATTTGGAAAAGATCTTAATTTACGATTGACAGTTCAGAATTAATTATAAAGTTTTCTAGTCCAGATTTACCTTTGCATATATTGATGAGAAAAGATAAAACAGAGAAGTGAGAGTTGCAATGAATTTGAAAAATACTACATAATTTGGGAGGAGAGATTGGAGAGCCTTATGCTGAGTGAACTAACTCAGTCTCCTAAGGACAAATATTGCATCTGTGTAAGACCATTATTGTAAAAAATAGAAGGATAACTAGTAAAACGTGGTTGTGGGTAAGTGCTGTCTAGCTGATGATGACTCATGGCGATGTTATAAACAACAGATCTGAACCTTGACTTATCCTTCCCTGTTATCTGTCATGCTCAAGCCCATTGGTATAGTGACTGTGTCAATCCATTTCCTGGAGGGGTCTTCCTCTCTCACTGTCCCTCCACCTTTCCCAGAATTCTTTTTTCCAAGGATTGACACCTTCTGCTAACATGCCAAAAGGTTATAAGACAAAATTCCACCATTCTTGTCTCTAAGGAGCACACAAGTTACAATTTTTCCTCCAAGATAGATATATTTGTTCTTTTGACAGTTTAATACTCTTCTTCAACAATGCAAAAAAACACCAATTCTTCTTTGGTTTTCCTTATACATTATTCAGCTTTCAGGTGTGTAGGAAGCAATTGCACAAGCTTAGTCTTTACACTGACATTTTTGCTCTTTAGAATTCTAAAGAGATCCTTGCCAGGTCTCCCCCCCAAAATATACTATTTAGGATTCTATTTTCCTCTGGTTGGTGTCTCTATGCCATGGGTTTCAGCACTCAGAGACTTCCATTCACAGTGTTGTTATTGTGTACCATAGATTCTGAATCAACCCAGAGCTGACCCTCCAGTGGGTTTTCAGAGACAGTTAATGGCATAGGAGGAGACTGCCCATCCTTCTCCCATGGAGCAGCTGGTGGCCTCAAACCACATGCCTTTGGAATTGCAGCACAGTTTCTCGCCACTAGACCACCAGAGTTCCCTTCTATTAGCAATATTCAATTCAATTCAAACTCATTGTCATCAAGTTGGAACCCACTCATAGAAGACCCTACCCTCTAAATAATTTTCAGAGACTATAAGTCACTGCGGTTAGGGACCTCTCTAAAGTACTCAAGAGACTAAGGTGCGCCTGATATAGGCCTTGGTTTTTGCAATCATTTGTTATGCATCAGAGAGTTGGACAATGACTAGGGAGGATAGAAGGAGAATTGATGCTTTGAGCTGTGGTGCTGGAGAAGAGTAGTGAATGTACCATGGACTGCCAAGAAAACAAACAGATTCATCCTAGAGAGGGTTAAACCAGGCTGCTCCTTGGAGGCAAGGATTCTGGAACTTCGCCTGACATACTTTGGACATGTTGTAAGGAGAGACAGGTCTTTAGAGAGGGACATCATGCTTGGTAGGGTAGAGGGACAGCGCACGAGGTGAGATTGGCACGGGATAGAGCACGGTTTAGGGCTGTTGTACATAGGGTTGCTATGAGTCACAAACTACTCGACGGCACATAACAACAACAACAACAATAAGTCACATGAAAGGAGATGGTTTATCTTTCCCCCATGGAGTAGCTGGTGGATTCTAATTCCTTCCCTTTGTCTTAGCAGCTCAATGCCTATTCACTGTGAGGAAAACACAAAGTAAAATAAAAATAAATGAGCTGCCATCACTGGAATACTAGCGTAAGAGAAGCTAGACAATGTATATTTTCTACTTAATAAGAATTTTTCAGAAAATGTTTAATAATTGATTTATTTAAAGTTTTTTAATATTTTAATATATTGTAAAACTCCAAATGTAATTTTTTTACTATAATAATTTAAATATATGAATCAGATAGTGTTAGGATTTTGAAAACAGAAATAGAGGTGAAAATAAGGAATTGTGGAAAGCTAGGAGTTTCTCTTCCATTTAATTGCTATTATTTTGTAGCATTCTGAATTTAATTTTATTTTTATATGTATAGTTTTTTATTTGGAAGCAGGAGTGACATCCACTTCCTAAACAACATGCCTCTGGAAACTATTAACTTTGATAAATATAGATAGTTATAGAAAGGCTTCAGGGTCGCTATGAGTCGTACTTGATTTGAAGGCAATGAACAACAACAACAATTTAGACAGAGCTCTGTTGACCTAGTAGATAGAAAGTTATACTACCAAGACAAAGATAGGTGATTTTAAATCTGCGGCTTTCAGGTCTGGTTGTTAATTGTTTTGGAAGCAAACATTCTTCTAAGTGATATAGTACTGCTCTGTCCATTTGCTGTAGAAAGGTAACTCATGGTTGCTGTGATGCTAAATGCTGTGAGATTGATGTATCAAATGTGATAATGGTTACCCAGGGTGGACAGTATTTGGTGGAGCTCTCTGATTAAAACAAGCTTGGAAGCACGGGTGGCATCCACTTCTGAAATAACTTGCCTTCGGAAACTTTATTAACTTGGAGAAATGATGAAAATTATACAAGTGTTCAGGTCTTTGGTTCGTAGGGTCGCTATGAGTCGTCTGTGACTCAATGACACTTAACAGCAACAACAACAACAACAACAACATCTCTTGTAAAGATTCATGTTGAACTGAACTTTTAATTATGATAAAATCACCAAAAGGATAATTTTGTGCTGAAACTTTTTTATGAAGCATCTCTAGCTCTGAATTTGGCTTAAATTAACACTGGCAACAGAATAAAATAAGTTATCTGAGCTTTCAAATAAAGAAAGTAATTGTGAAACCTATGACTTACTAGGTGAAGAATCACATTGAAAAAAATTATGATTCTCAATTGTTCCATTTCTGACCATATTTTATGACCAAGAAAAGAGACCTTTACAAACTTAGGGAAAAAAAATACTGATTTCACAAACGAATCATTGATTGAAATAATTGTTATATTATAATCTAGAATTTTTTTTAAATTGCCTCTTATTTTGTCTACATACACTAAGAAAGACAAATTAATTATATGTAGAGTTAACGTGACTTTTACGTGTAGCATGAACAAATAAAAATCTTGTTGCATTGGAAAATCTGTTGCAAGGACCTGTCCAAAGTATTAAAGAACAAGGCTGTCAGTTTAATGACCATTGTGGTCCTGATGCAAACTCTAGTTATTTGCATTTGCTTTGTATGCATCTGAAAGTTAGACAAGGCATAAGGAAAGCCAAGAAGACTTTTGAATTATGGTGTTGAGATTACTGAATATTCCATGCATTAAAAAACCCCCAAACAAATCTATCTTGAAGAAAATGTAGCCAGAGTGCTCCTTAGGGGCAACAATGGTGAAACTTTTCTCACATAATTTGTGCATGCATTCAGGAGAAACTGGTCTTTGGAAAAAGACTGCTGTGAAAGACAGAAGATCAGCAAAAAAAATGGACACTCTTCAAAGACTTCAGTTGGCACAGTGATTTTAACAATGGGCTTGAGCATGTCAGAGCTCCAGAAGACAACACAGAATAAGGCAAGGGTACTGTAGTCCATAGGACTGCTATGAAACATGGTCAACTCTGTAGTACTTAACAGTATTTAGCATGAAAAGAGCCCTGGTGGTATATCAGTTTGCAAATCAAAAGGTCAGCAATCCAAATTCACCAGCCCTTCCTTGAGAGAAGGATAGGTGCTCTCCTTTCTTAAGTGTTGGAAATTTGATGGTGGATTGTGATGCATTGAAATGGATTCAATGACAGCCCATTGAGTTTGGGTTTAGAACTGTAACATGATGTTCAGTAGTCCAATACCAATACAAAAGATTGAGTTAGTACCGATTTCATTTCAGTTTCTCCCTTTGTACACATATGATGATAATAATAATTAAAAAAATACTGGAAGTTCTACGTTTTCTTACAAATAGCAACCCTATACATCCAAAGACCATCATCCTTACTGTTGTCAACCATCAGCTAAAGAAAAGGGAAATTTATCTCCCAGATATAATCTTACTTCATATTTGTTAA